TCCGCCCAGGATCGAACTGAGGACCTTCCGCGTGTAAAGCGGATGTGATAACCACTACACCACGGAAACCGCTATCAATTTCCTCGCCTTTTGGCGCTAGTAATTTTTTTTTGTTGTTGTTGTCTATATAAATAAACATTTAACAAAATATGCGTTATCGAACGTTTTGTGGTTTCACTGATATCTAAATTCCAAAACTAATTCACGTATAAAAATCTTTTTGTCTAAATTTTATTCTCCAGGAACAAAAAAAAAAATTTGCGGAAATTACCGAAGGTCGATGGATCATTTAGGCTACATAAAATTTTTTAAAATGACCTTAACGTATTAAAAAAAGATATCATCTCAATATAAATAATTCATGCAAAGAATTTTAATATAATTAAATCTCAATATATTATAAATATTACGATTTGATAGTGATTAATAATAATGGAATTTAATTGATTTATCGATTGAAATGAGGTTTATTATTACGTTATCGATTCGAAAAAAAGAATATAACGTATTTTTGCAATAGTTATAAAATAAAAAAAAAAAAAAACGTGTAATAACTGCCAAAATGTAATCCGTGTCAAATTACGCAAAAAGAAGCGTGTTTGTGTGTGCTTTTGTCGCGGGAAATGCGTCTCACAAAAATTCTAAAACCACGAACAATTTTAAATAATAATCAAAAATAAAAAATTTTAATATTCTTTCCATGCCAATAATGTATAATAAAAGTAAAAAAAATATTCAAAAAGAATATTAATATGAAAAAAAAAAAAAAAAAGAAAATTTTTTATTCTAAAGACACGATTCTATTGTACCAATTATTATTATTATTATTACGTAATAATTTTTACAAAAAAAAAAAAAAAAAAAAACAAAGAAATTTGAATAAAACGATCGACTCCTTCTCCTACTCGAATACGCTAATAATAATAATAATAATAATAATAATAATAATAATTCAAATTACATAATTAAAAGAATTTGAAAATAATAATAATATTTTTAAACGGTTTCTCATCGAGTTAACATCATTTTTTTTTTTTTTTTTTTTTTTAGGGTAATAATTAAAGAAGAAGAAAAGAAAAAAAAAAAGATGGAAGGAATTTTAACGGGGAAATTTTTTGAAAAACAAAAAGGAAAAGAAATGAAAGATATTTTAAAGGTAAATAATTTTATAATAATAACCATAATAATAATAAAAAAAAAAAAATAATAATAATAATAATAATAATAATAAAAAGTTTGTGAAAGTTTTAAAAGTTTTTTGGTTTTTTTTTTTTTTTTTTTTTTTTTTTTTTAGTCAGAAAATAATTCAACAAACGGAAATGAAATAAAAAGGAGATTTACGTGGGGAAAAGGACTTTCGAATGATTTCGACATGACGGGTAAATTTATTAAAACCACGTTCGAATTACCGTTAAATTGTACGAATCCGGAAGAGGAACAAACGGAAATACAAAATTTTTATAAAAATTCAAACGTTTTTATAACGGGTAATTTTAACAAAATGGCGTCGTCGTCGCCCTCCTCATTTTTTATTCGATTCGATTCGTGGATTTTTTTTTTTTTTTTTTTTTTAAATATGGCGACGAATAAATTAATTCTATTTCAGGTGCGACAGGATTTTTGGGTAAAGTTTTAATCGAAAAACTTTTGGTATCGTGTCCGAACATTGGAAATCTTTACCTTTTGATACGGGAAAAACGTGGGAAAAAATCAGAAGAAAGATTCGATGATCTTTTCAATGATGACGTAAGAAGAAGAAGACATTTTGAATGAATGATAAAAATGATAAATAAAACGTAAAATAAAAAGTAAAAATGGGGATTTTAGGTTTTCGCAAGACTTCGCAAACTCGTACCTGATTATCGTAGAAAAGTCATCGTCGTGAACGGTGACGTCACACAATCGAATTTAGGATTGTCACCCGACGATTACAAAACAATAACGGAAAATGTGTCGGTTATTTTTCACGGTGCTGCCAACGTTCGATTCGACGAAACTCTTAAATCCGCCGCCAACATAAACATAAAAGGAGTTGTGGAAATATTAAAACTGTCGAAAAATTGTCAACATCTAAAGGTACGTCACGTCGTCGTTTTTTATTTCTAACGATCTTTTTGTACTTTTAACGGTTTTTTTTTTTTTTTTTAGAGTTTAGTACACGTGTCAACAGTTTATTCTAATTGCACGTCAGTAAACAAACACGTTTCCGAAGAATTTTATCCCGTCGCATATAATTATAAGGATTTATTTGAACTCGTCGAACGCGAATCGGATGAATCCGTTAGAAAAATAACAAAAAATTTTATATATCCATGGCCGAATACTTATTCTTTTACCAAACAAATAGCAGAAGACATAATTTCAAAAGAGGGACGTGAATTACCCATTGGAATATTCAGACCTGGAATAAGTAAGGAAAACAAAATGAAAATTTTCTTAGTTTTTTTTTGGGGGGTAAAATTAAGGTCGTATTTTACACATAGTTATAGCAACGTACAACGAACCTATAAGAGGATGGACTGATAACATTTACGGTCCGACAGGAGTCATCGTGGGAGTAGGTACGGGAGTTTTAAGAGTTATCAATATTGATAAAGAAACCGTGGCGAATATGGTACCCGTGGATTTTGTCGTTAACGGACTCATTGTCTGCGCATGGAAAACTCATGAAAATTTCAGGTTGTCATTTTTATCCATTCATTCAGGTATGGTGATATCGATGGGGGTTTTTCTTTTTGTTAATATGAGCCTGTGCAATCATTTACAGGAACGATAAGAAAAACATGATGATATATAATTTCGTATCGGCGACGAGGAATCCGATACGTTGGGGAGAATTTTCATATTGGAACGGAATCTACGGTCAAAATTGGCCAACGGTTTTGGCTATTTGGTATAAAGAATTTCACCTCGTTAAAAACAGGCTCTTGTTTTTATTCGTGTCGTTTTTTCTACACACATTACCATCTTACATAGCAGATGGAGTTTTTGTAATGTGTGGAAAAAAACCAAAGTAAGGGACTCGGATTAGAAAATGGCAGAAATTATCAATGAGAAGTCACAATATTATTATTATTATTATTTGCAGAATGATTAAATTGTATAAGAAAATAAATAAGTTTAGCGAAGTGATAACTTATTTTTCCACACAAACTTGGAGTTTTTCCGATGAAAATATACAGAATTTATGGAAAAGCATATCGGAAAAAGATAAAATAATTTATCCTTTCGATATAGAAAAAATGGATTGGGATTATCATGCTCAAGCACATCTTTTGGGGCTTAGAGTGTACCTGACCAAAGATGACATACACACTTTAGTCGATGGAAGAAAAAAATGGAAAAGGTAGTAGTAATGGTTATCAAGTCATAATTGGAAAAAATTGTGTCGAATAATGAATTGTTGTTTTATGGTTTCAGACTGAAATTTTTACACAGGTGCCTACAAGTATTACTATTGGTATTTTTCACTTGGATTACATACAAATTATTTGATTTTTTTAATAAATTTACATAACAATGATGATGATGATGATGATGATTTACTTGAAAAATTGATTTTTTTTAAATAAATAAAAAAAAAAAATGAATAATTTGTTTTTTTGAATTACTGAAATTTATTACTTACTAACTGTTTTCCGTTATTTTTTTAACCAAAAATCTTTCTGCTCATATCATAAATTAAAAAATATAATTTACTATTAACAAATTTAACGTTTTTTTAAATTATTTAACCGAAAATAAATCAATTAGGAATTTAAAAATGATAATCCTCAATAAGTTTTCCTATTGAATTAAAAAAAAAAAAAAAAAAGAAAAACGTCGTTACGATTGATGTCTGATTGTTCTCGGTTTACAACAGTCGTGGCAGTAGAAAGTAAACATGCCATGCTTTTTTAAAATTTTAACGATTTTGATTAATTGATTATAAAATTTATTCAGTCACGTTTTGCCTTTTTATATATTTTAATCATGGTTTTAATTTTATAATGTTTATCATATAATAAATATATATATATATTTTTATAAAAATATTTTAATCGCACGTTTAAAAAAAAAAAAAAAAAAATTGAAAATATTTTGATTCAAAATGAATCACAGTAATTTTTTTATATTATTTTTAATTTTATTAATTAATATTTATCAGGTTATATCGGATGGATATATTATGTATTGTCCCTGTATGGGTAAGTCATGTTTTTATTTTAAAAAAAATTATATTAAAATAATATTTTTAATTAATTCTTTGAAATTTTCAGGAAGATTTGGAAATCAAGCTGATCATTTTTTAGGTGCATTAGGTTTTGCTAAAGGACTCAATCGCACATTAGTGTTACCACCATGGGTAGAATATAATCAAGGGCAACCAAAGTCTGTACAAGTTCCTTTCGATACTTATTTCAGGGTTGATAAATTATTAGAATTTCATGATGTGATCACAATGGAAACATTTATGAAAACAATCGGACCAGAAATATGGCCGAAAGAAAAAAGAATTTCATTTTGTTACACAAATCGAGGGGATTCAGAAGGTTGCAATGCAAAAGAGGGAAATCCATTCGGACCATTTTGGGACACATTTAATATCGATTTTGTCGGCTCTGAAAAATATGGTCCATTGCAATTTGATGTACATCATGGCAACATGGCTGAAAAATGGATGCAGAAATATCCGGCTGATAAATGGCCTGTATTAGCTTTTGTCGGAGCTCCAGCCAGTTTTCCTGTTTTAAATGAGAATAGAAAATTACATAAATACTTGGTTTGGAATGATGATATAAAACAAAAAGCTAAAAATTTTATTAAAAATCAATTGCCGATTGGAAGTTTTGTAGGAATTCATTTAAGAAATGGTATTGATTGGGTTCGAGCTTGTACTCATGTTCAACACAGTCCAAATTTATTTGCCGCACCTCAATGTGTCGGATATCAAAATGAATTTGGAACTGCAACTCCTGAAATGTGCATGCCTTCATCAAAGACAATAATAAAACAAATAAAGAGAGTTTTAAAGACTGTCAAAGAACCAGGTGCAGTTTTTGTGGCTTCAGATAATAATTACATGTTATCTGAATTATCGGAAGCTCTTAAAAGATTTGAGGTAAGTTTAAATAATAATAATAATAAAAAATTAAATTCATAAATGATTAAGAATCAACATCATGTTTGTTTAGGTGAAAGTAACGAATCTTCAACCACCAAATCCTCATGTTGAATTAGCAATACTTGCTCAATCGAATCATTTTATAGGGAATTGCATTTCATCATTTTCTGCATTTGTTAAACGTGAACGTGATGTGAAAGGATTAAAATCATCATTTTGGGCATTTCCAACAGAAAAAAAGAAAAAAATTCATGATGAACTTTAAAGAAGACATTTCATATACATCACTTAAACTAAATATCGAGAAATTCAAGACTTTTTTTTTTTTGTACATCACAAATTTTTATAATGTTTTCCCTTTTTTTTTTTTTATTTTAAATGTTTAATTTTTATCATCACATACTATTACCAAGACAGAAAAAAGAATTTTGATTTTTAATTTAATTAGAAATTAAGTTTTTGTCGTATTCGACATTAGTTAGAAACAAAAAAAAAGTATTATTATTATTCGTCATGTTGATTATGATGATGGCTTTTTTTTTTTATTTACAAAATGCATCGCAGCTGGATTGCAATTTTATAAATCTTATTAGTATTATTATTATTATCATTAATTATTACTTTTTTTTTCAATTAAAAAAAGTTATTATTATTATTATTATTATTATTCTCCCCTTTTTTTCCAAATTGTAATAATGTAAGAAAGTTAAACATGGCGAAAGGGTTACATTTTTTAAAAAGAAAACTTTTTCCCCTCGTTTAACTTAAATATTTATAAGTATATATATATATCGATCGAACAGGTAATATAATTCTTAAAGATTTTTTCCAAAAAAGGGGGTGGGGGAGGGGGGCTATAAATTTTCCAGTCTTACTGCGCAGTCGATAATTATTATTATCCCCCATTTTCTTATTTTTTCAGTTGTTTTTGTTAATTTCCCTTAGAAACGTGGTTTTCGTATCCATTTTCCTTCCCTTTTTTTTTTTTTTAGTGCCACGTTTATGTCAAACAAAAACAAAAATCAAAAATCTTTTTTTCATTTGTTTTTTATTTTTTTCGTTATGATAATGATAATAATTTGACAAAAAGTATATATATAAATATTTATAAATAATAGTTTTTTTGTTTTTTTTGTGTTTTTTACAAAGAAAAATGAATGGAAAAAATCAAATTTTTGTATTTTGTAAATGTCACGCGGGATTAAATGGGAATGTATTGAATAGGAAAAAAATGAAACGTTCACAAACCGTCCAGGATTTTAAATTTTTTTCTGGTTTTGGTAAGTTTTTATATTAATTATTATTTAATTAAAGTTAAAAACGATTAAATATCGATACCGTTTCCATTATGTACTAATACGGATTCATAGAGTAAAAAAAAAAAAAACGATTAACGATTTTTTTCATATTTCTAAAGTTCAAACAAACAAACAATTGAATATTTAATGCGATTTATATATTATTATTATTATTATTATTATTATTATTATTGTAAAATTTGAAAATTTTACGCGCGAATTCGATTATTTGTATTATGTTTAAAAAAGAAAAAAAACTGTTAACGATTTTGAACTTTCGCGTACAGACACGCACAAAAATTACCGATGACGTCATAGAACCGTTAAAATTTAAAATTTTTAAAAAATCGTTAATAATTTTGATTTAACGATTTGATTTTTGTTATTTTTTGGGGGAGAGAAGGGGGGGGGGTAAAACATAAACTATTAAAATTTATTTAAATAAAAATGATAAAACATAACGAAAAAAAAAAAACGATAACATAATTTGTTGTTGTTGTTTTTTTTTTTTTTTTTAATAAATTTTACGTCACGAAAAATCCGTTAAAAATAATTTAAATATGGCGCAAAAACGAATAAATAATTCAATTTTTTTATTATTTTTTATTATTTTTCGGTTGCTTGCGCGAATTTCGAAACGCAAAACAAAAAAAAAAAGAAAAGAAAAAATAGAAATTTTTCACGCAGCATCTCTTCATCTCTCGCTCTCTCTCTCTCTCTCTCTCTCACACAGAATGTTTCACGAGAGAAAAAATTTTTCAGTTTCGAAAAATTCATCTTTCTAAAACCACGTGTTAGCTATTTTTTTTTTTTTTCCGGTAAAAATTTTCGCGATTATATTTTTTTTTTTTTGTGTTATCACGTGATTTTTATCAACGAGTAATAATAATAATAATAATCGAATCGTCATTTTATTTAATTATCGTTAACGAAGTCATTTTCTTTTTTTTTTTTGCAAGAGATTTTAATTAAACAAAAAAACGAAAAGTGCACATTCTCATTTTTTATTTATTTATTTATTAAATATTTACTTAGCCGACAAAAAGGTAATAAATAAATAAATAAAAACGTTTCTTTTTTATTGCAACGATCATCAAATGTTTTTTTTTTTATACTCGGAAAGAAAACCGGAAATGGAATTTTTTTTACCTTAATAGAAAAAACGATTTTTTTTTTTCGTACTGTTTCCGTTCAGGCAAAAACTTTTAATATATATATATATATATATATATATATATATTTCACTTAATAATAATAATAATAATATGAAAAACAACGCGTTCGTGTTCATAGCAATGATAATAATAATTATTCCATAGAGTTGCCCCCCGCAAAAAAATTAAATTTTTTCTTTTTTTATCCGTCATAATACTGATTAAATAAAAAGCAGAAGAAAAATAGTTTTTTTTCGTGATGTAACAAAACAATTTTTTTTTTAATACGCTTATGCATCCGGGGGGGGGGAAGGGGAAGGAAAAGGAAGGGGGAACAAAAATGGGAAGAAAAAGGGAAGAAGAAAAATTATTTAATTGAAAACGTGGTAGGAAAATTTTTTTTTCGTGACCTCAAATAAAAAAAAAAAAGTTTCTGCTGATTTTTTCTTTTTTTTTTTTTTCTATTACTTTATATACATCATCATCATCATTATTATTATTAAATTAAGAAACTTTTTTTACGTCCATGATAATAATAATAATAATGTTAATAATAATAAACTTCGAAGTGATTTTAATATTAAAAAAAAAAAAAACAGATTTTAATTTTAATTTTAAATTAAAAAATAATAATGATAATGATAATAATAATAATAATAATAATAATAAAATTGCATCGTTCGCATTATAATTAAAATAAATTTTTTAAAATTAATAATAATAATGATGATGATGATGATGATGAAAAAAAAAAAACGGAAACAAAATTTGAAATTTTTTTTTTTTTTTTTTTTTTTTTTTTTTACGGAAAAAAAAACCTTTCCGAGTCTTACGATAAAATAATAATAATAATAATAATAATATAATTGTCGCAGTATGTAATCGTTAAATAATATTAATAATAATTTACGTTTAAAGTCCCACCTTTGAAAAATTTACGACGGGCCCCCCGAATCGGAAGCGGCGGTTAAAAGAAAAAAATTTTTTGAGCGAATTTTTATTTATAAATTCCCCCATTTCCCCTCCTACTCCCTCCCTCCTCTCTTCCCTCCCCGTCCCCCCGAATAAATACGACGACGGTTAAGTTGAAATTCTAGACCATCACCAACACCACCAATTGCACCTGCGCTTAAATTTATGCATGAAAAAAAAAAAAAGTGCAGACGTTAAAACAGACGACGACGACGACGTTTCCCTCTTAAAAAAAAAAAGTCTTTTAATTTTGTTAAAAACAAACAAACGAACAAACAAACAAACAAACAAATTAAACAAAATGTCGTCGAACTTTAAAAAAAAAAAAAAAAAAAGTAAAGAATATAAAGGAATCATCGTTTTTTTTTTTTTTCTCGTTTTTGTATGTGGTGATCAACCTTGGTACGAAACGAATCGTCGTCGTCTCCTTCTTCTTCTGCTTCTTATACCTGATTCTTGTTTCGTTAACGGTGCCTACATTATAACAACAACAACCACAACAACAACAACAACCAGTATACGTATAAAAATCTCTTGCAAAAAATTTTTTATTTTCGTTTCGTTTTAATATTTAATTTTTAATTTACAAGTTTTTAATTTTTTTTTAACGAGGGAGAGAGGGTGAGAGTGAGGGGGGAAAAGTGCGTGAGTGTGCGTGTGCGTGCACGTGTGTGCGTAAATTAATAAATATGAAGTGATGAATTATTTTAGTTATGATAAAATTGAAGAAAAAAAGTTTTGACAAATCTAAAATAAGTATAAAAAAAAAATTAACGGATGTTGTCACTTTCGGTGTTAATCAACAGAAAAATGATAAAAAAGAATTATTAGGGAGCACGGATCAATTTGTTTCGGATACTCATAGATCACAACAGGATAATCGTAAGTTTTTTTTTTTTTTTAATTTTTTTTTACTGCCTCCCTCTACCTCCCCCCTTTCTCCCCATTTTTAAATTTGAAAATGTGCGCGTGTGTGTGTTTACCTGAGAGATTTCGTTAGGATTCGCCGCTGATTTTTTTATACGTTAATTAAAAACGTGTAAAATGGACACAAATCGTTCGTTTGTTTGTTTTTTTGTTGTCTCGAACGTTTTTTTTTTTAACGCTCTTTAAAATTTTTTTTTTTCTGTTGGATTTCCGGTTAAAAAAATTTTTTTTTATTTTTAGACAGGTGTAATTAAAAACTTCTTTCGTTTGTTCGTTTGTTTTTTTACATAAAAAATTTTTGGATTTTTTTGTCGAATTTTTTTAGAAACCGCAACATCAAACGATCTAATTTTTTGCTTATGGGAAACAAAAATGGCGGTCACGCTTGAATAAATAAAAAAAAAATTTTTGTTTTGCTAATTGCGAAGTCACACACACAGACAGACAACAAACAACAAACAAAAAAAATTTGTTTTATTGTTTCGAGTTAATAATAATAATTATTATTATTGTTATTATTTAAATGACGAGAAAACAAAAAAAAAAAAAACAAAAAAAAAATTTTTTTTCTTTCCCACGAACAAGCTTAAAAAAAAAAATGGGAAAAAATGAAATTTAATTCGTGTCACCGGGAAAATAATTTCCCTCCTTCCCCTCTCCCCCTCTCCCGGACAATCCGATTGTCTTGATGAAAAATTTATTAAACGAACAATAAAACAAACGAACGTGCGAACGTTTTATTATATTCTCAAAAGGAAAATTTACGAAAAGGAAAATTTATCCTTACGGAATAAAACCATTTTCTGTTGTTTTCCTTCGCCTCCCCCACCCCTACCCTCCCCATTCGTATAAAACAAAAACATTTTTATCAATTGGACACGTTTCCCTCTCCTCCCCCCACCCGTGCGACCTCC